GGGACAGGCGAAAGGGCTGAAGGAGATGGGGGAGGGGAGGAGATGGGGAGGGAGGGAGATGGGGGAGGGGGAGGAGATGGGCGGAGGGGCACAGTGCTCACCCGCATCTTGTTGTTGACCAGGTCGAGGACAGCACCATAGGGGATCCTGTCCAGGGGCAGGCTGGCCAGCCACTCCTGCAGTGTCTCTAAGAGCTTGGAGACGGGTGGCCGCCCAGGGAACAGCTGTGTGAGGGGGGCAGCGTTTAGACATCAGCGGGGCTGTGAAGGGCCATCCCACTGCAACCTTGGTGTTGGTCCGCGGTCTGGCAGACCTGTCAGTGTCCAGCTCCTCTGGTCACCCACCTGCCAGCCCCCTCAGCAGCCACCTGATGGAGGCAGATCTGGGTGTGGGACTCCCCCAAGGCCTCCACGCTCTGGACCCATGCAGACCTGTGCATGACCATCCAGTCCCGCTTGTGCACGCTGCACCCACGACACCAGCCAACCCCGTCAGCTCCATGTCCCAGCTCGCCTGGTGGCACTGCCCCTCCCAATGCCCTGTGAGACCACAGTGGTGACAGTGTGCGCACTCGTGCCGTGTCATGTGGCTCTGACGTGGGAGACGGACCCAGCCAGATGCCAGGCACTGCTGCCTGCAGAGTGGCCTTGGCTGCATGGCCTCCTCAGGATAGCAGGGCGGGGCTGCAGACTGGGCCAAACGAAAGCACCGGGCCGGTGTGGCCTGGGCAGTGGGTAGCCTCTGAGCCCTGGTCTAGAGTCTGCTAATCCTTTACCTCGGGTTCAGCAAGTGTACCGGTCACTGCACTGTCCACTGACAGTGGAGGAACAGCGACCCCGACCAGCTGCTGCCCTGTGTGTGCATTTGCTCCAGTGTCCTGGGCCAGCCGCTGTCCTGCTCTTCCATCTCCATCACTGCACCCCCTCCTCTCCCAGAGCCATTCAAGCACGGCCCTCGGAACACAGCCTCGTCCACCCTGAGACCCTCCAGACTACTCCAGCCTCCCCCGCAGCCCACTGATCACTGCCTGCTCCTGAGGTCAGTCTCACCTGACCCTGTCCCACCTCCACGGTCACTGCGGTGTCTCTCCTCCAGCCCTGGGGAACCTCATGAGCCTCACGCCTTCTAACACCGATGAGATGACCCCCTGAGACGCGGTCCCGGACCCTCCCAACTCTGTCCCAGTGAGCTGCCTCCAGCGTGGACAAGCGCTGTCCACTCCCCGCGCCTCCCTCCCTGCTCGGAAGGCCCAGAGGCTGTCCTGCTCACAGCGGGCCCCATCACTGGCTCTCCCCCCCGCCCGATGCACGTGGGCCACACGCCGAGGCACTCAGACCTCTATGCCCCCTTGGCCCGTGGGGACCCTGCTCTGCCTCGCGAGCACATGTATCCCCCTCAGGCTACAAACAGGCAAAGGGTCTCCTCACTGCAGCCCCCGAGCTTGTCCTGTCTGGCCACACAGGTCCCAGCCACCTGCGGCTGCCATCTCCCTCCACTGAAGGACACCTCGGGACCCAGAGAGCACTGGCCTATCCGTCAGAGGTGGCTGACATGGTCAGCCAGCTCGCCCGCTGAGGCTGCCCTGACACTGTCCAGGGGAACCCATGCACCTTGGCAAGAAGCGTGACGAAGTCCTTGAGCGTCCGGAGCTCTTCGCCCGCAAGTGACCGGTGGGCAGCCAGCTCTACCCGCAGGAGGTAGTGCAGGGCCGACTCCAAGTCTGCAGTGTACAGCCGAGCCCTGGGGGGTGGGCAGGTCAGGACCAGCACCTCACTTGACCACCATCAAACCCACCATCCTCACCCTGCAGTGCCCAGTGGCCCCCAGGACCCGTGTCCCATAGCACTTTCCCTGACAGGGACCCTCAGAAGTAAATGGGTTACTTGCTTGTCAAATTCTCTCCAGACCATGGTCCCCTCATTCTCCTCGCTACGTGGCTGTTCAGGCAACGACAGTGGTCTCTTCCTCACTCCAGGCAATGACTTCAGGTAACCGGAGAAAAACAAGCGCAGAGGCCTGGTGCTGCAGGGCCGGGCGAAAGCCGCTAGCTGGAGTCTGCGTGGTCAACTGGGAGCACCCACGGTTCCTGGGGGAACCTCCCCACTCAGGGCCCCTTCAGGCTCCTTCTCCGCTCAGGAGCCCCCTGGGCCCCCTCCCCACTCTGGAGCCCACTGAGTAGCCTCAGACAGATAGGTGGCACCCACCCGGGTCCATCACTCAGTCTATAACTGGCCTCCTGTCCCTTTGTGCTTGGACACTTAGAGGCACTGCGGATGGGACACTGGCCTCAGGGCACCTCCGTCACCTGAGACTGTCACAGGAGTATGAAGCTCCTTTCTGTTGGACGGGGAGTTAACGTTACCAGCAGTGCTTGCTAGGGTTCTGCAGCCCCAGGAGCCCAGGCAGAAGCTCTGAGCTGCCCAGGGCGGGGTGCCACTGAGGCCCTTCTCGACAGCATGTTTTAATAGTGACAGTATTGCTGCCGGCACCTCACGTACACGTTTACAATGCCATGCGTGCCATTGGGATAGATCAGGAAACAGGAGGGGACCGATGACACCCCAAGTCTGTCCAGAAGCGCCCTGTCCGAGTCCAGTGCTCTCTTCACCACCACGTTCTCGTAGGGAACCAGGTCCAAGATCACCTGGAGAGGGGACGTGGTTAGTGGCCACTCCAGCCACGCCCAGCCTGTCACACAGGCACGTGTCTTATGAGGAGAGTGCCACTGGCCACTTCACGCTATGGAAGGAGACAGTGGGCTCTCTCCCTGCCCGGATGCAAGAGAAGGACATGCCAGCCTTGTGCAGTGTGATGGCGGCACCAGTGTGCTGGGCTTACAGAGACCACGAGGGACAAGCTGTCTGTGCTGGTCTCCATGCCAAGGTGCTCAGTACCACTGAGTCACTGCCACCCCGCCCTGCCCCGGACAGAGGAGGCCTGACGGGCCTTCCCTGCTGATGTCTCACAGAGGCTGCTTCCTCCTGTAGAGCCGCTGGGTGGGTTCAAACCTACAACCCTTCAGTTCACAGCCCTGGGCTTCTCCGTGATGCCAACTGGGCTCCTTCCTCCATAAGGAGGATCCTCTTTTACACTGTGCTGGTCACTGCACCCTGAGGCAGTCAGAGGAGACACGTGTGGCTGACGGGACCACCACAGGGGAGTTCTGTTCTAGGTTTGAGGGTGACTAGGGCCACAGTCTCGGGGGTACGGTCACTACTGGACTGTCAGCCTGCCCTCATGCACACGTCCTTTCCGTAAGTCAGTGGGGGACAGGGGGACAGTGACTGCTCCTCCAGTGACACTTGTGTTTCACTGAAGCAGAACCGCCCATGTACCCCCAACAACACACGTCACAGAGCAAGAGTGGGGACAGACGCAGCAGGGCACATACCTCTCGTCCAACATAGGAGCTGCTGCCCTCAACTATCACCGCCACGTAGCGGCCATCATGACTGTCAAACAGAGACAGCACATCAGCAGGCCTTTAGGGATAAGAAAGAGGCGGTCAGGGCTCAGGGCGGGGGGCCCAGGCATTCCTGGGCGCTGAACCCGGGGCTGCACACAGGCCACCCCTGCACTGTGCCCACGGGCACTCACGGAACGGGCTCCAGGGACGGGCAGGCGGGGGGCCAGCGGGCCTCTGTGTGGTTCTGCAGGAAGTCAATCAGGCTCCGCCGAACCGTTCGCACATCGCGCTCGGACCCTGCTGGACAGCAGGACGCCCCTGACCAGTCTGCCTGCATTGAGCTGACGCCGCAGCCCCGGCTAAGCCCCCGTCCTGCACACCCATGCCCAGGGGGATGGCAGGGGACCCCCAGAGGGCCTCTCCACCACCAGACAGCGGGGTGCATGTGAGACAGGTCAGCAGTGAGGAAGTGAGTCACAGGCACACGTGCTTGGGCTGGGGGTGTGAGGATGGGGCGCAGTGGCATCGGGGGCCGGATCCCGACTGTGTGCTCACTGTACCCCACCAGCTGTGCACATACACTTGGCTTCTCAAGAGAACGGCCAGCAGGGCAGCACCAGGGCAGATGGCGAGGTTGGGGAGGGCCCACTGCTCTGCCCCCGCGTGTTTCCCAGGCCAGGAGACAGCGAGCACGCTGGAAGGAGGCCTGCATCCGTACCTCTGAAGTCTTCTCCGGGTGTGAATGTCTGTGTGAACGCTCGGAAAAACTAAGAGGAAAACACAGGGAAGAGTGTGAGTGTGTGTCCACTCGTGTTACGTGTGAGCAGCCCTGTTCGTGAGTCGATGCACGTGGTGGATTTGTGCGTGTGTGCGTGGGTCTGTATGTACAGCAAACATGTGAGTCCTTCATGTGCATGTGTCCATGTGAGTGTGCAAGCCTGTGCCCACATGTGCCCGAGTGTATATGGTCTGAGTGTGTCCACAGTGCATGTGTGTAAGAATGTCCAAGTGTCTAAGTGTGAGTCTGTGTCCACGAGTGTGTGGGCAAGCCTAATAGTACAGGGGTGCACACCTGAGTGTACAGGTGGCGTGTGTGGGCCTGTGTCTGTGTAAGGATGTATGAATATCTGTGAGTGCATGTGAGGGTGTGCCCACCTATTCTGTGTGTCTTTGAGTCAGTTTGTATGAGTGTGTGCAGGTGCCTGTGTACCTGGGGATAGTGGACCAGCGAATGCATGTGTCTGAGTGTGTCTATGCAGCTCCACAGTAAACCAAAACCCCCAAACCCAGTGCTGTCGGGTGACTCGGAGTGGCCTGCAGGACACAGCAGACCTGCCCCCGAGTCTCCAAGGCTGTCACCTTTACAGAGCAGATGGCCTCAGCTTCCTCCTGCAGGAGCTGGTGGTTTTGAACCTCTGGCCTTCCAGCTAGTAGCCAGCACTCCAGCCACTGCACACCAGGGTGCAGTGACCCCTTCTGCACAAGTTCAGAATCCAGGGCGCTCAGGACTACAAGTGTGGTGGAGACCACGCGAGCAACACGGTGGTGGACGGCTGTGGGCACTCACCCGGAAGGTGGGGAAGACGTGGATGCCGTAGGCCCAGCACACCTCGTGGTTCTTCTCCGCGGCACAGTCCAGCGCAGCCACCCGGATGGCAGAGGCCCAGTCTGAAAAATGGGAGAGGTGCTCGGAGTGAGGGGAGCCCACAGCCCCCGGTGCGTCCCGCCTGTGGCCCCCAGTTCACTGTGGTAGACAGGTTTCTATGCAAAGCTGGGCACAAGGGCGAAATATCCACCAGCTGTGTGTCCTAAGGGCCATGCAGCCGGGAGGCGCCTCCTCACTAGATCCCAGGCTGAAGGCTCACTGTCCTTAGCCCGCGTCCTGGGGGACACTACATCTGCACTCTCAGACCCTATGGGCACGGCTGTGGCTGTGGCATCAGAATGGCCCCACACGCTACCACTGCCAGAGGTGATTCTGACCATAGCAACCCTGCAGGGGAGGAGAGCTGGGTCACAGGGTCCCTAAAGCTGTCATCTTTAGGGAGGAGGACTGCCCCATCTCCTGCCTGCAGAGGGGCTGGTGGGTTCTGTGCAACATTCAACTCACCACACCGCCAGCACCCTGTCACACGTCAACACACCAGCAGCACCATTCCCACCTCACCTCCAGGGGGGTTCACATCTGTCACTGTCACACGTGGAGCCTGCTGCTCTGAGCTGGGGTGGGGCATGGTCAGTTTGCACACTGCTATCCCTCTCCCATCCTTGTTACTTGCTGGTGCAGGAGGGTCTCCTGTCCTAGAGCCCCCTCCGTGTGTGGACCCCTGAATTTTCTGCACCAAGACCTCGACTGAGTAGGTCTGGGGAGCCTGTCCCAAGGTGGCAATGACTCTGAAAAAGGCCTACAGTGCCCCGCCCCCCTCACAGGCTAGAGCACCCAGCAGAGAACAGAGTCCGAGCAGGGACAAGGGAGCGGTGGGTACTCTGTCATCAGGCCCCTGATGGCTTCCAGGAGCCAGGGAGGCCTCTCTGTGACGGTCCGGTACTTCCTCTAGATGTCCGTCACACCCTACTGACTCATCAACCCCACCAGGGTCCCTTCCACGCCCGAGTGGGTGGGGATGGAGCAGAGGTCTGCGGCTGCCACAGCCCACGATGCAGCAAGGATGGGGTGTCCGGAGCCCTGCTCCCCTTTTCTCACTGCTTCCACGCTGCCACCCAGCACTCTGGAGCATGTGGTCTTACTCTCCCAGCTACTGCTGTCAAAACCAGGCCATGTGTGAACAGTGTGTACGAAGAGAGCTCGGGGTGCAGACACCACTCAGGGCTACTCAGGGCTCAGAGACCACTGGAGATGCGCTGTAAGAAAGGTCCTGACAGGACTGACACTGAGCACAGGGTCCTTCCACCTCACACACCACCTTGTACAGACACAGTTGCCCACCTTGTGATTACAGCAATGACCACCATCCCCAGGGACGAGGACCGGGTGAGCGTCCCACCTGCCACGTGCTGTCCCCCCGGCAGCCCCCCCCAGACCAGAGACCACGTGTCCCATAGCCTCAGCTCTAACACAACCAAGGAAGAACGGTTAATACCCTTACCAATTAGCGAGCAGATGGTGGCCGTCACCGAGGCTGAGACCTCAGGCGGCAGCCCCGCCCAGCGCCAGGTCCCCACTTGTCTGGCACGTCGGCTCACTGCTGTCACCTCCTCCTGGGGAGGAGGGCTGCCTGGGACCACGTTCAAAAGTCCACTGAACGGCACCTGCACCAGAGTGCACCAGACCACAGGGTCTCGCCTTGGGGACACTCCACGTGCAGCAATGACTGACAGCCTGCGTGGAGCACTCAGAGTAGCCTTCCCACGGAACAGGCCACCTCAGTCCTGCACATCCCGGCGACAAGGCCACGCGACTGCCCGCTAGGGAGAGCTGACCTCACCCGTGGCTGGCAACTCGAGACACAAACAGGTGTCCTGCTGCCCGGGCTCTCGGCCTTCTCAAACCCCCGCAAGTGGCCTGTGCTGGCTCCTGGCTGGGCAGCAAGGCGGGTCCAGGTGCCACTGACTGCTGCATGAGGAAACCCTGCACACAGGTCGGGAGAGGCCTCCTCTTGGGGACCTTCATCAGCCTAAGGTCGACTGGGGAGATGGACAGAGGCCATTCCTGAGTGTCCTCAAAGCGGTCTCTGCAGAAGCTCTTCCAGGTGGACCCGCCCCCACCAACGCAGTGACACTGGGAAGCCAAGCTCCTGGCCTGCCATCGGCCTGCCATGGAAGCCGAGTCTCAGCGCAGAGTCCTCTCCTCAGCAGGGCCGGGGAAGCCGTGGCTCGGAGGGCAGTTGGCTTGCTCACACTTCAGGTGACCTGCCTGGTGACAGTCCCTTCCCAAGCGGAGCCTCTGACAGGGCAACAGAACCAGCAAGGTGCCCCGTTTGCAACAATGACACAGTCCTGCCCAAGCCCCTGAGTGTGTCTACCTTCTGTCACATGTCTGCACTGAGGCCAGCAGTGGACAGACAGGGCCTCTGCTCAGCCCCCACAGCAAATGACAGCACCTCTCAGGAAGTCTGGACACAAACTACAAATTCAAAAGGCCCCCTTTCTTGAAGGAACCTTCACCCCAAATCCTGCCAGTTCTGTGTCACTGTCTGAAGAGGGCAAGTCCCATGCTCCCAGTGTTCAGTGGCCTATCTCCATCAGTCCCTGCCCTTGACCTTCAGAGAGTGTAGAGAACCCAGCATTTGGCCTGGAGTTAGTGTAGACCCCAGACACCCCCTGGCCCCCGACAATGACCAGTAGCAGCTTCCACGAGATGCGTTCACTGCTGGCAGCTGCTCTGTGCCCACGGCCCATGCAGTCCACCGCCCACATGACCTCGGGTGGTCTGGCTCCTCTGGGCATGCCTGTGCCCCCATGGGCTGTCACTGCTCACGGCCTGGGCACAGCCTCCTCTGCACCAGCCTTCCTCCCCGGTCCACACCTGTCCTCTGTGTCAGCCAAGGGCAGAGGATACTGCACACGTGGACAGCAAGCCCAGCCTCCGCGCTCCTGGGCGACAGCCTCAGCTGCAGACCCCAGAACCAACAGGTCAGTTGTAAAGCCACGCTCAGGCCCACCGCCAGCCCAGCAGCCTCCGTGCCCCCCGGGAATGCCGGCTGGGACAGCAGACGCGACACGTTCAGCTGCGGGGCTGTCCACCCCCCGCAGCAGTGACAAGTCTCCAGCAGATGGACGGCATTCACACAACACAAAGGATGTACAGCCGCTCTCCCAGATGCAGGAAGGCGGCTTCAGGGTGGGCCCTGCTGGTGAGCGCCGCCCTCTCAGGCCCTCCCCACCCGCCCCGTCCACTGTTCACAGCGGAGATGCAAACCACCCGCTCCTGTGTGCCCTCTGAGGACAGTGGGGGCTCCCCAGTGGCCCTCTGGCCTGTCCCCCACTTGCGTCCTCAAGTATGGCGGCTCTGGGAGCTGGAGGGTTAACGTGTGTGGAGTAACTGCACTGCTGCTGACGGTGGGACCTGACTGAGACGCTGGCTTCCTCGGAACCTGCCAATAGGTGCACTATTTCTAACAGGATCCCCACCTGTCAGCGCTGAAAATGAACACCTGTAAGATACAGCCCGGCATCAATTAGCTCGAGAACAAGGGCAGGAGAGGGAATGAACCCTGGGGATTTGAAAGAATAACCGAAGCCTGCTGTCAAGGACAGTGCTCTGGGTTCCCCTGGTGACATCAGGGGGCTGGCCTGGGCACTAATCCCACGCTGTGGCCACGAGACCACCCTCAGCGCTGGCCTGGCAGAGCCCTGTCCTTGGAGGGGCCCCATCCACACTGAGATGGGGCACAGGATGGCAAGCTGCCCACTGTGACAGCCCACGCTGTTCTCAAGCCCAGCTCCATGCTGGTGTCGGGACAGGTGAAGCCCCCACATCCTCAGCGGGGTGAACGGCCAGACCAGCAGCGCAACCCTGAGGCCCAGGAAGGCAGCCAGTGGCCCCGAGGAGCCATTGTCACCGTGGGAGCCCTGCAAGGGTCACAAGCTTGAAAATGCTCTGGAGGGTCAGCTATGAGTCAGTTCTGACTGGACAACACAACAGCAGCCCAAAGTCCACATGCCCTGAGGACACTGGTGGGACAGCTCTGCTCATGACCAGTCGGGAACCACAGTGGGAAGGCTGGGATCACTGGCCACACAGAGGAGTGTATGCACAGGGCTGCTAGCAGCACCCCTCTTCCTAGGAGAGGCCAAGGGCCCGAGACTGTCCTGGTGGGATGCTGTGCCCAGCTCCACCCCTCCCCCACCGACTGAGAGCAGCTACACAGCAGCTCTATGCTGAGCTCTCTGGGTCACTCCTGGCCTTTCAGGACTCAACTGTCCTTCACATTCAGCCTTGTCTCCACATGGGCCTAGTCCTGTTAAGGTGGCCTTGCTGCAGTAGAGTAAGCCCCCTTTTTTAACTAAAGTTTGAAAGTTCAAATCCACCAGCAGATCCAAAAGGCAGTCAGCTTCTGAACGGTGGTAGCTGAGGAGACCATGCAGGTATCCGCTGTTCTGCAGGGTCTCGATGAGTCAGCAGTGGCTGGACAGGAGCGGCTTCTCCGAGCACCATGAATCACACCCACTGTCACTGCTATCCTGCCCCCTAAGTCAGACCAACTCCTAGCTGACCCTCCGGCCGGTTTCCAGAGGCTGTGAATCACATGGGAGGACACTGCCCATCTCTCCCTAGTGGAGCAGCGGGGGATTCGAACATCTAGTCTTTGGGTTGGCAGGGCAACTCCTTCCCACTAGGCCACTAGCGATCCTTGTCCCATCATTTAGGGATGGATTTGATGAGTTTCATCTCTTTCTCCCTAGCCCATGGATGTGGAGCATGGTCTCATTCAATCTCTTTGAGCAGGGTTTTAGTTCTCATTGTATAGGTGCTTCATGGCTTCTTGATCATATGTTGTTTCATGGAATACCTGTCAGCCAATTCCTTTTGGTACAGTGACTCCATGTACTCTTTCCAGCTTCTTTTACTGCTCCCTGGATCACTCATTATTCCGCCCAGAGCATCCTAAAGTATTGCAACTCAAGGCTTGAATTTGTTCTTCAGTTCTTTTAGCTTAAGAAATGCTGAGCGAGTTCAACCCTTTTGATTTTCCAATTCCAGTTCTTCGCACATTTCATTACACTACTTTGTCTTCCCGTGCTGCCCTTTGAAATCTTCTGTTCAGCTCCTTAACTTCTTGATTCCTTACCTTTGCTTTGGCTTCTCAGTGCTCTAGTGCAATATTCAGAGTCTCTTCTGACAACCATCTTGGTCTTTTCTTCCTCCTTTGTCTTTGTAATGACCGTTTGCATTCTTCATGGCTTTGCTTATTAGTGTTTAAGGCCTCAAATCTGTTCCCGAGATGGTTTTTTAATTACAGTGCAATAGAATGACCAGGATTTGATTTCATTTTCTTTAGATTCAGCTTGAACTTACATACCAGTAGTTGATGATCTGTTCCATAACCAGCACTTGGCCGAGTTTTCACAGCTGAGATTGAACTTCTCCAGTGATTCTTCCACATATGATATAAATCTGATTCCTGTGCGAATCTCATCAGGTGAGATTCATGTACACGGTTGTTTATTTTTCTTATAAAAGGTATCTGCAAGGTATAAATCACTGCCACAAAAGTCCATCATTTTATCCCCAGCCTTGTTTCTACCAAAAAGCCTCAGGAACTGATGGAATATCAACTATCTATTTCAACAACGAGATGCAGCCCTAGAAGTGCTCATCAGGCTGTGCCAAGAAATCTGTAGGACACCCATCTGGCTAACTGACTGGAAGAAATATATACATATATATTCCCACTGCAAAAAAGGTGATCTGACAGAGTGTGGAAATTATCAACCAATATCACATGCAAGTAAAATCCTGCTGAAGATTATCCAGAAGCTACTGGAACAGTACATCAGCAGAGAATGACCAGAAATACAAGCTGGGTTTAGAAGAGGCCGTGGCACTAAGGACATCACTGCCAATGTCAGATGGATCTTGGCTAAAAGCAGAGAGAGGATGAGGAAGGTCTGTCTGTGTTTCATTGACTATGCAAAGTCATTTGACTGTGTGGATCACAACAAATTGTGGCTGACCTTGGGAAGAATGGGAACCCCAAAACACTTGACTGTGCTCATGCAAAACCTACACTTGGACCAGGAGTCAGTGGTCAGAACAGAGCAGGGAAACACAGCATGGTTCAAAATCAGGAAGGTAGTGTGTCAGGGATGTGTCCTATCTCTATCTCTCTTGGAGAAGGACATCATGCTTGGAAGGGTAGAGGGACAGTGCAGGAGAGGAAGACCCCAGATGGGATGGACTGACACAGTAACTGGGGTAAAGAGGCTGGTTGTGTCGGAGACAGTGAGATTGCTCAGGAAAGGCCAGGGTTCAGAGCTGTTGTGTTTTGGGTTGCTGTGAGCCACAGTTAACACAACGGCCCCTAACAACAAGGTGCTTCACACCCTCGTTACTTTGTTTCCAGGTACTTAGTCCCCTTAGACGCTGGTGTCAAAGCAACTGCTTCCCCAGTTTTGCCTTTGGATTTCTCACTGCTCTCCACAGAGACCCCAGCCTGTCGTCTGCTGGCCACGTTCCCTGCAGTTTGCCAATTCCCTTGATCACCTCTCATTTTCCCGTAGTCTCTGGGATTTTCCGTGTAAAACCATCTCATGCAGAAGCAGACTTCCCCTCTGTTCCCCTGTGGGTCCTGTTTTCCTTGTTCCTCTGCTCTGGCCAGCCTTGCTTCCCTTTAGAAGAACCTTTCTTGCAAAGTCTGGAGAATATGTTTCAACTTCCTGCGTGCTGGTTCAACCCAGGAAGCATCTGCACCATTTGTTCTGCTTTTCAGTTCTTTCAAATGCAAGACAAGAAAGAACAAAGCCAGTGTGCAGAGCAGGTGACAAAAATCTTGCCATGTTATGTACCAGAGTCTAGTCACCTCGTAGCTGACTCGCCAGCAGGTGTTCAGAGGTAATAAATCGCACAACAGCTGATGGCCCATCCATCTCCCCCGGGACAGCTGGTGGGTTAGAACCTTGCGCTTCTGAGACGGCAGCACAGCTCCTGACTACTAAGCCAACACAGTTCCACAAAACCACGTGCTACATTGTATCTTGGTTGAGTAGCAACTAGGGCCACACAAGCTTGTGAAGAGCCATCTAAGGTACAACTATGGCATCTCCCTGTCTGGGACAAAGCGTGAAGAAACGTGAGTCCACCTGGACCACAGAACTGAGACCGGAGGACTGGACGGTGCCGGCTACCACGGACTGCTCTAAAATGGACCACAGGTGAGAGTCCTGAGCAAAGGAAGAGATGCAAAATCCCAAAAAGGCCATGCCTGCTGCTTTACTAGGGACTGGCAGGACCCCCGACACGACGGCTTTGTGAGCCTGGAACCAAGCTCCCCACTCACAATTAAGTACAAAGGCCTTGTTTAGACTTGGGAAAGGGTTTGTTAAATATGAGAAAAAGACAACCAGCTTAGGAAGAAGACTGGGGGGGGTGGGAGGTAAAGGAAGGAAGGTAGCAATTTGTAAACTGTTTCCCACTGGACTCTGTAATTAGAGGTTAGCCCAAGCATCCCTCGGCAGGTGTGGGGGTGGAGGTCACTCGAGTCAGCACTTACATGCCAGGTTGAAGGCCTGGCCAACCAGCAAGAAGGGTGCTGCAAACATCACCCCCACCTCTGCCACTGCGGCGCTTTAATGCCCTGCAACACTGCAAAGGGCAGAAAAGTCACCAGCTCCGCGTATGTGAGAGTTGCCAGGGGCCTGGCTACCTCTGATGACAGACAGACACCGTTTTCCGTCCTCCTAAAGAGGACACGCCAGGTCACCGGCAGTCTAGGCCGGGGTTCAGCCCGGGTGTCCAGCACGGCAGCTGGCCAGTCCTCTGGGTGAGGACCTGCCAGGGGAAGGGCGGCCGGGACTCGGACAAGGGATTGCGAGCCCGGGGCGAAGAAGGGGTCAGGCAATGGGTGGACGGGCCGGGGCGGCGAGGGGAGGACCCGAGGCCTGGGGGCGCGCGCTGACCTGTCCCCTTTGTGGGGGGACAGCCTGCTTGCAGGGTGGCCAGGCCGGTCGAGTAAGGCGCGGGGAGGGAAGGGTCGCGGGGCAGGACGTCCTCCCTGTCGCGAGAGTCGGGGTAGTGACCAGGTCAGCGGCGGCCGCCCCCGACCGTCCCTGCGCTCACCTCGCACGTCCCCGGCCAGGGCCCGCCAGGTGGGCGCGTAGCCGATGCAGTGGCCGCACCACGAGGAGTAGAACTGCACGAGCCAGGCGGCCGAGCTGTTGGCCGTGGCCCCGCGCACGCTGCCGCTGTCCAGCACCCACACGGCGTCCTCGCCCGGGTGGTACAGCTGGGCCATGCC